ACATATAAAACTTTGTCTATACTCTAATAAAAAGTTTCCCAGACCAAAGAGGTCACCTTAATACCAAAAAAAAAAAAACAAAAAAAAACAAATATTGCTTCTATTAAAGTTTTTCTGGAGCTTGTTAAAAGAGCCATATGAACTTGTGCTAGTTCACTAGTATTTACTAGTATAATACTCTGTTACAAGAATCTGAACTTTATAGCTATCCATAGTTGTATTATTCTAAAAAATATGATATTATTCCTATTGGGTTTATTATCTAAGAAGTACATATTGTACCAAGATTTGATAAAGAGAATTGCTTTTTACTAAACCAATACATGTTCTAAATTTTGTAAAAAATATTAGATAAATAGTTTACCATAACAAATAGTAGATTATCTGGGTACAAACTACAAAATTTATATTAATAAAATGCAGTTTTTTTATATTGCCAAATGCATTTTAAATTTTTTTCCTTATGATATAACTCATCAGCATATACTAGACTTGGGTCTACTATATAGTTTAAAAATTAGGAAAATGTAACATACTAGGTTTATATATAGCAATTTACAGTATTTTTAAGTTTTGAATTAATAAATTTCTTTTTACCCACATGCCAAGACTATATAAAGTTAATTTTTTAATTCTCATAACATAAAATATTTAAAAAAAGTAACTCACCACCTGTTTTTAATTTTATTTTTAATCATTAATATAAAAAAAAAACATATGCATAGTAAATATACTCGAAATTTTGACCCAGCCAGGTTATGTGAACTAAAAAATTAATTTGTTTAGTCTAATTAAAACAAGAAAAATGAATTATTATATAAATATAATCCATATCTATAAATACTTACAAGAGTAAAATCGCCACTACTCAAATATTAGCAATAGATATGAAAAAACCAAACTTTACATGATCAAATATCGTTTAAAAGTATTAAAGACTATTGAATTAGTTGATCAAAATCTTTAATCACTAGTTGTTATCTTCAGTAAGCTTATCTATATATATAATAAATTATAATCTATAAAAAGGTTTTATGTTAGAGGTGTAATGACTTAGTATAGTAGTCTAGTCATCACCTTCTCCAAGCAGCAAGCCTAGAGTTTACCGTATATTGCCAAAAATAAGCCACCTCCAAAAATAAGCTACCTCCTTTTTTCTTGGAGAAGAAACATAGAAAAATTTGTAATTCCGAAAATAAGCTACCTCTGATAATTTTTCAAAATCCGGAAGTAGTTTCTATCGTTTATTTGTACTTTCCCACTATTACCTTAAGGTCTTGGAACCTGGAACCAATAATTCTAAAAATAAGTATATCTATACCCTCTCTAAAAACTTTCTCTAGAATAAATTGGAACAGAACCATTTTTCAAAATCAAAACTCCGATGAGACCATCCACCGTGATGGTCATTAAGTGCGGTACAGAATTTATCATGAGTTTAATTAGTAGCGGTCAAAAAGACAGTTATTAATATAGTGACCACTCATACAAGTGGTCAAAGATTGGCAAAGATCGGCACTGGAACCACTTTTGGAACCGTGCTCTGATTGGTCGAATTTTAGTAAAACCCAGCAATTTTTAAATAGTATAGCCAATCAGAGCACAGTTCCAAAAAATTTAATTAATGGAACTGTTTGAAAAGCAAACTCCGGACGATCTTTTTTTCTGAAAAAATTTCCGGTAGAACAAAAATATATTTTGTGTGAAATTTTATTAAGACAATTGCACATGAAGGTATTACATCACGAGAAAAATTTGCCGTCAACACGATTTCCCCCCCCCAAAATTTACTATGATGATCATCTTTTCATCACTAACAAAACTTGTTCTTTGGCTCAAAAAAATGTTAGTTTCTTAGAACGACTTTCTACCTTTTTTTACAAATTAGTAAAATCCAAATTTGGCAGTTTATTATTATATGTCTATTTTATAAAATAAATATAATTATAGAAAGATCATTGTATAAAAATTAAAAAAAAATGGAACGTTCTCTAACTCATCTGCACCAACTTCATTATTCGCTCGAAAATTGTCTAGTAAAATTTCCGGTATTCTATGTGATTATAAATTGTTAATCTATTCCAAATTCATAAAATACGAATTTGGAATAACAATGAGTCTTTTGATTTTCAAATTCGTAAAATACGAATTAAGAAGTTCATTGTCTCAATGAACTTTCAAATTCGTAAAATCTAAATTTGGAAAATTAATAATTAAAATTGTTGAAAAATTTTTATGAATTTTGAAAAAAAATTGAAGAAATTTGTTGAAAAAAAATGCAAAAGAATATTTATTTTCTTGAAAAATATTATAAATAATGTTTATAAATAACATTCCAAGTTTTCTTTAATCTTAAAAATGTCATCTTTTTTGTCTCTTTTTCAACTTTGTGTTAATTTTGTCACTTACGATTTTAATCGTCAAGATTTTGATCAATTAATTCAAACATATTTTGAAGATGAAACAATTTGTCCTTTTACACGTATTGTTTATCAGTATAAATGAAATTATAATGTTTCTTAAGAGCGAGATTGTCATATACAAGGATTTTTACGTCTAAAGAAAAAAACTAAATTTGGTCATTATAAACCGTCAACCGATGAAAAAAAGAATAAAATAAATGATATAAAAGGTTTTCTAAAGATTGACAAAGTACATTTTGAACCTGTTGGTAGTGAGCTGGATTCTATACACTATTGTAAAAAAACCTATAATAAATGTTCAATTCATAATTGAAAAGAAATTGAACATGATGTAGAACAGTTTTCTGAATATGAATTCATCAGAAACACAATCTCAACTTCTAATAAAAAACGATTAACAAATTGTCGATGCAGCTATGAAGATTTAAATGATTTTTCAGAATGTAAATGGTGTACTTTGGAATGTTGTTCTCAACGTACATTAGCAAGATATAATGAAAATTCAGGGCCATACGAATATTTAATTCAAGAAAATAAAAAGGTTCAAACTAAGAAGAATCAATCTCAAGATCAACTATTGAAAGATGCACAAGAATATATGGATAATATTCTTGTTAAAAAAATATTAAAAGAAGAAGCGATTGTTAAATATGCTGAGAAAAATCCACAATGGATCACTCAGAATCCAAATAATATTGTTATTATTTGTGATGCTCGAGATAAGCTTTTACAGAAAAAAAAAGATTCTATTGAACGTTGTTGGCGCCCAGTAGTTTTTTATATTTATAGTCCTGGTGGCTCTGGAAAGACTAGACTTATTAGCGAATTGTTTGATGGTGAATATTTTGAAAAACATAAGAAACAATGTAGTGGATCTAATTATTGGAATGGGTATGATAGGCAAAAGATAGTTTTTTTTTGACGAATTTTATACTAAAATTGATTGGTCAGATATGGTGAATGTGTTAAATAATACCATGTATTCTGTAGAAATTAAATACAGAACATTTAGTACATTGTTTAAAGCAAAATATGTGTTTATGACCAGTACAAAACCACTAGAAGAAGCGTATAATTTCGGTCAACGTATTGGGGAGGATGATAATAAACATGATTTTGGTCAATTTTATTGTCGTCTCGATTTCATTATCGAATTTGATGGGAAATGGGACGATAATATTGATAATCATACAACACAACTCATTTTTCACAAGGGTTCTGAATCTGACTTTCGAAATATAACCTGGTTGGTAAAATTTCATAGATGTGCTTTAACAGATGAAAAATTACGAAAGAAAATTCTATTATTATCTAATAAGTTTCCTGGTGTAATTTATGAAAAAGATGATCAGATGTATTGGAATCGGCAATTTCTTGAATTTAAGAAAAGATATTTGCTCGACTATCCTAAATCTAGACGACTTGATAAATATCGTTTAGAATGTGAACAAGAATCTTTGCAAAGTTCTCAAAATAAATCCAATTTACAAATAAGTTCATCATCATCTACCAATCAAATTATAGATCTTGAAATAGAAATTTTATCAAAAGATCTCCAACTATCTGAATACAATTTACAAATAGAATCTTTATCATCTACTAATCAAATTATAGAACCCGAAATAGAAATTTTATCAGAAGATCCTCAAACATCTGACGTTGATTCTGAGAATAGTAATTATTCTCAGAAACGAAAAAACCAACAAAAAATCAATCGAACAAAGAAAAATAAATTTGAAACTTTGCATTTTTCTGATTAAAATTAAAATAGGATTAAATATATTTTATTTATAAATATCAAAATAAATAAGATAATCATCAAGAAAAAATGTGAATAATTTGTCAAATCTTTAAAAAAAATTTGATGAATAAAAAAAGTTAAAATTATCAAAATGTTTTTGCGAAAAAGTGTTATCTGAAGTCGAATCAATAAAATTATAACCAATATTGTTATTAAAATTTTCATTCGATACTTCATTATTTTCATCTCTTTTAAAAATAAAATTTTCTTCTTTATTTTCATATTCAGAAATTTTTTTGGCGATAAAATTATAACCAATATTGTTATTAAAATATGTTGTAAAATCTTTATTCGATACTTCATTATTTTCATCTCTTTTAAAAATAAAATTTTCTTTTTCATTTTTATATTTGGAAATTTCTTCGGAGTTTTCATTATCATCATCAATTTCATCCTCGGAAATTTCTTTAGAGTTTTCATTATCGTTATCAATTTCATCCTCAGAAATTTCTTTGGAGTTTTCATTATTGTCATCAATTTCATCTTCAGAAATTTCTTCGGAGTTTTCATTACTGTTAGTAATTTCATCTGAATCTTCTTCTGAAATTTCGATTATTTCATTTGTAAAATTGTTAATGATTTCAA